TTTGAGAAGAGAAGTGCCGATTGATGAAGATTGAGAAGAGGAGCTGTGTGAATAGAGAAGAGGTTATTCTTTCACACAAATCTCCTCTACTGAACCTTCATCAACTATCATAGTAGCTCTTGAGCACATAATATATGAGAGTGAGTTAGAGAGAAACAGATACAAAGGAAATGAGTTTTGGCAAGGTATGATTTATGAATGGCGCAATTAATACTCATTTCCGCAAGGACAATCAACGGGGCAGGAAAAAAAGGCTTTTGATAGTAGGGTAATTGATGCTCTGCAAGTTTTCTAACTTCATCCATCCATCTGATAAAGTGAGATGGGACGAGGTTAGAGAAAATTTTCTTAGGATCGTATGTTTGTTCAGTATATATTATTTCATTATCAGTATATATTGTTAAGGGGGTTTAGCATGCAATGAATTGAAAAACAGATATACACATAAATACTGATAATGAAATAATATATGCCTATAAATGTTTTTCAATTCATTGCATTATCAATACCGATAATTGAAAAACATTTATACGCATACAATGCCAAAACTCATTTCCTTTGGGAACAAAGGAAAAATATATGAATCACTTGTTCAGACATTTTATCAAACAACTCGTAGGCATCAAATAACTTACCCTAATTTCTACAAATTAAGCTTAGCTTAGCTTCTACAAATTAAAATCCACATCTATACTTGTTAAAAAAAAAAAAAAAAAACATTAAAATTGCTATTGCTATACTCTTGCAATAACAACAATGGCGCATGAATTGATCCAGCATAATCACTACAAAATTTAAGAAGAAAAAAAAATTAAAAAAATAACAGGAATTGAAGCTACTTGGAGGGTAATCTCATGAAATCCATTAGTGGGTATTAACTCTAAATGCGTGTACATGTGTGTGTGGATATGAAATAGGGTGGGTATTGGATCTAAGTAAACAATATATATATATATGTGTGTGTATGAATTTCAGGAAACCCGGGTATTGGTTCTTGGAGAAGAGAACTGATGCCGTGTATATAGAAGTGTGCGTGAATAGATCTGTGAGTATGAAATAGGATGGGTATTGAATCCAAATAAAATAGTAACGCATTGTCAATTTGATGAAAATCGTCGCAGAACGTCGCCGGAGAAGATGACCAAAAAATTCGTCGGTACAATGCGTTCCTATTTTACCACCCTTTCATAATTTCTGTAATTGGGTGGGGCCTTTCTCCAACTAATAGATTATAAAAGGGAACTTTGTTGTTTTTTTTTTTTTTTTTTTCTAGGGTTTCTTTGTGTCTAGAGAGAGAATGAGATGCTGAGCCTTATCAGATTTCTAAAATCCAGTGGTGAATGCTACGTTCTCACGCCCTTCTTTATCTCCTAACTCTCATTTCCAACCCTCTAATATGCCATGAGTTACATTTTCTTTACATTCCATGTTGTTAAATCCATCATTTACTATTTTTTCCGGTCTTAGTCTACTATCACATTTTTGCATACACATACATGACTGTTTACTTGGATCCAATACTCATCATATTTTATACCCACTGATCTATTCACACACACTCCCATATACACTCCATCTCATTTCTCTTCTCCCAGAACTAATACCCAAAACTATTGGGTTTCCTGAAATTTACACACACATATACATACTGTTTACTTAGATCTAATACCTACCCTATTTCATACCCACACACACATGTACACGCATTTAGAGTCAATACCCACTGATGGGTTGTCTGAAATTACCCTCCAAGCAGCTTCAATTCATGCTATATTTTGAATTTTTTTTTTCTTCTTAAATTTTGTAGTGATTATGCTGGAACAATTCCTGCACTATTGTTGTTATTGCAAGTGTATAGCAATGGTTTTTTTTTTTTTTTTTTTGACAAATATGTTCAAATGGTAGACTTGGATTTTAAGTTGAAGAAGTTAAACTTCTGCAACTTAAAATCCACAAGCTATTTGACGCCTATCAGTTGTTCGATAAAATATCTGAACAAGTGATTCATGTATTTTTGTCTTCCCTCGTTCCCAAGGGACGTAATGCATTATTTGGATTGGTATTTATATTTTTCTTAGGATTTATAACTTTAACGGTAGATGACTAACTGCAAATTATGTTATGCCAAACTGAAACTTGTATATGGGGTCAAATACAGGATGCAAGCTTGCTTGGTAATGCTGACAACTTGTATAAGGGAAACAATGAATTGCTTCGCTGGGTAATTCTGATATTTTGGACTATATTTTTGTCAAATATTAATTTGAGATTCTTTAGTGGTTGATTCTCTGTTATTGTCACTGGTTTATAATATGCCTGAACTATTGATGTCTTTTTAGGTGAACTTCTTTACTCGGGAAAGTAATGGATTGCTCGGATTGGTAGTGTTTTGTTTTTTGCCTCCGAACTATGTTCTGCTGACTACTTTAATACAAGGTCTGAGCTTGCCTTCTTCTATTGTTCCCAAGAGACACTTTGCACTGCCTGGCTTGGTAATGCTTACTGAAATATTTCTTGAAACTGCTTATGACTCTCTTTTTTAAATATTTTTGGTGAAAAATTTCACGCGTCCTTAGAAGGAGATGGTAATCGGTTTTTGGTGGTCTGATGCCAAGGATGCAAATACCAAGGATGATATCATTTGTTGGCTACTTTTTAGAATCACCACGCAACTTTAATCTCAGACTTGTAAGAGGTTGCCATATAGTGCAAAGGCCCACAATCCTTATACCTCACCCAAAGAATTTGTAGAAACCACCCCCAACCAGCCCCACCTTCCCAAATCTTACCTCGATGGTGCTTGAACCCAGCATCCACATTCATGATATCATTTTACTTATGTTGTTCGTAAGGGATCGGTAGTGTTTTGTGAAATAATAAATTTTTATGTTTCCTGAAACTGCTCATGACTCTCACTCCTCCACAGACATAAAGCCAACATGTCGGTAGTACACCCTCTCGAAAACACACAATCTACATCCAAAAATCGACCAACCCTTACACTAGTTCTTTCAAGCCCTTATCACAAAACTGATCACGAAGATTCTTGGGGAATACACCTGTGCAGAACAATCTGCTCCCCAAAAACCAGTTATCAGCTCCTTCTAAGGACGCCTGAAATTTTCCAACAAAAATATTTAAAAAAAGAGTCATGAGCAGTTTCACACTCCTATATGTAATTTGTATGTTAAATGTCCATTTGGTTTATATAGCAACCCAAAACCTGGAGCTTGCTTGAGGTATCGGATAATTCAAAGAACTGCATTCCAATGTGGCATCCTAAAAGATCCAATTAACTGACTTACGGCACTAACTGCATATGATATATCCGGTCGAGTGATAGTGAAATAAATTAATTTCCTAACAAGACGTCGAAATCTGCCAGGATCATCAAATAGATCACCCTGATCTGACAAGAGTTTTGTATTTGGATCCATAGAAGCATTAATTGGACGACCAACCAACATACCTATTTCTTCTACTAAATCCAACACATATTTTCTATGAGATAAAGTTATACCTTCCTTAGATCTAGCAACTTCAATACCCGAGAAATATATGAGTTGACCCAAGTCTTTAGTGTGGAACTGGTTTTGTAGAAACAACTTAAATTTAACAATACCTTCAGAATCATCAGCTGTGATCACAATGTCATCTACATATACCACAAGGAAAATGAAACCAGCTTAAGTGTGCTGGTGAAACACCGAATGGTCTGTCTGACATCTTTTAAGACCAAATGCTAATGCTGCCTCAGAGAACTTTCCAAACCAAGCCCTTGGAGATTGCTTCAGTCCATGCAGGGCCTTCCTGAGGCGACAAACTGTATGACGATACTCCCCTTGAGCAACAAACCCAGGTGGTTGTTCCATATAAACTTCTTCAACTAAGTCGTCATGTACGAAACCATTTTTCACATCTAATTGAAACAACGGCCAGTTACGATTGGCAGCAATGGAAATAAGGACCCATACAGAAGAAATCTTTGCAATAGGGGAAAAAGTCTCATTATAATCAACACCATAAGACGAGCCTTCAAACGCTCAATAGACCCATCGGGAAGGCATTTGACAGTGTAGACCCACTTACAACCAACCGGTTTGGAACCAGGAGGTAAGGGAACAAGATCCCATGTCCCAAGGGCATCCTGCAAAGTCTTGGGTATAACAGTAGCAGATAATGTGGATAAAAAACAAGATAAAGAGGGTGAAACATGATTATGTGAGACAAAATTAGAAATGGGATCTGCAGTAACACAAGAACGAATACCTTTACGCAAGGCAATAGGAAGATCATCAGCAAGAGAAGGAATCTCAATAAAAGTACACAATTGGGGCGGGGTTGCCTGAGATCGTCGACTATACACTTGTAGTGGTCGTGGTGTGACAAACTCTAATGAAGTAGACATAACCGGCAGCGGAAGCAACAAATCAACATTTGAAGATGAACCATGGGCAGAGAAGTAAGGAGTGTCCTCAAAAAAGTTAACATCCATACACACAAAAGCACATCGAGTGTTAGGATCCCAACATTTATAACCTTTTTGAGTCCAAGAGTATCCAATAAAGACACACTTAATGGCACGAGAAGACAATTTATCGGTGCCACGACGTAATATGTAAGCAAAGCGCACACACTCAAAAACACGAGGAGTAAATGCAAATAACGGTCGATTAGGAAAAACAAAAGAATAAGGGCATTTCCAATTAAGAACGAAAGATGGCATACTATTAATTAAGGGTAATTTACACAAACCCCTCTATGGTTTGTCATAATTACAAAGACCTCCCCTCTGGTTTGAGAATTTACTTGAACCTCCTCTAATAATGAAAATATCCTACACAGACCTCCCTTCTGTTAGAGTTAACGTCAGTCAACAACGGAATATGCTGACATCATGTACAAATTTTACTAAAATTTCCATAATACCTTGCCCGTACTAATTAATATATATATATACAATCGTTGTTAGTGTAAATGGGTGTAAATATAATTTGATGGGTGCTCATATTCTATGGGTGTAAATGTGTCTCTCATGCCATGGCAATAACTTTCAGAATGAGGAATTTTTTATAATCATTGCAAACCACCATTTTTACATCAATAATAGGAGTGTGTGTGTGTGTATATAAAGTGGTTTTATAAATAGATGATTCGTCACTTTGTTACAGGGATCTTAGAAGCAGAGCCCCTTTTGCAGGTGTTTCCTTTTTTTCTGTTTCCTTTTCCCGGTACTGTTCATATTAGGATTTCCACTATGAAATCAGTTTTGGAAGCATCAGGCAGAAAAAGAAAAGAAGAGCGGAAAATAAAAAAAAGAACAATTCCCTTGGTTTGATAACAATTGGTTCCAGCTTTCAATCTTTAAAAAATAATAATAATAATAATAATAATAAAGCATCATGAGATTATCACAGATCTCCAGTAAAAAAAAAAAACTGAAGATCTGGAAAATAATTTCTCAATTTTCTCAAAGCATATATACATACATATTGCAACTTTGAATTCCATAAGAATTTCAGAGCAGAATCCCAAGAAAGAACTATAGCAGCCTCCCAAGTGAATCATTCTAAATGAAATATGATACCATGACTACCAAATATGACATGTGAGTACGTGATAATAGACTTCTTTAATAAGGAATTAAAAATTTGCTTAAAGAAATTACCATGACTAGCAAAATAAAACCTAAATGAAAATTTATTTTAGCTCGCCCAATCCCCGATGCTCAGATTCTTCCCAAACCCCACCCACCAACCTCCCCTCCCCAATACCAACCATATCATGAAGCGAGACCACTGTCTTCCTCCTTATCAAGAACAATCCAGCGGCGGCAGCAGTTACTTTCTATCTCTCTTTCTTTTCTCGAATCTGTCTTCCTCCTTATCAAGAACAATCCGGCGGCGGCGGCAGTTACTTCCAATCTCTCTTCTTGGCTCGACTCCATGATTTCCAAACTCAACCCTCTCCCTCTCCCTCTCCCCAATTTCGATTCCATTCCGTCTCCACTTCCGGCGATCGATGAATTGAAAAGAATATATATATAACGTCACTCTTATAAAAAACTTATGGATATTTTAGTAATTTAAAATAACAAAGCGAGAGTATTTCAATAATTTTGACAGATCCGTTAGTGTGTTTGACGATTCGTCACATATAAGAGAGGTCCGAGCTATTTCAATTAAATACCTATTTTTCTGTTCTGCTACGCTTCATTTTGTTGAGCATAAGAACAAAAGTTTGGTGCAAAATACTACCGAGAGTCACAAAATATAGAAATAGCACATTTGACATATTCCATAACATTATCAAATTGTAAAATTTTTAATACACAGCCAAACTGGACCTCAATTTTTTTAAGAAATAATTGAAATATGTAAAAAATTTAAGACTGGCCTTTTATTAAAAACATCTCAGTCATCTTGAATAGTCATCAACGAAGTTAACAAAATATGAAAAACCTGAATTACTCGCATGACGCACAGGACCCCAAATGTTAGTATGTACCGATTCAAATAAAGAAGACCGGCGATTATCGGGGAGGAAACACGACTCTATGGTGCTTGCCTAATTGACATGACTCACATTCTAAAGTAGACACTGACCTAAGAGAAAGACCGGCAGACTTCAAGTACCTTAAGGATGGATGACCCAATCGATAATGCCACTGTTGGGCATTGGCAGAGACCCGTGAATGGAGAGCAGTACCACTAGTAGGCGACTCACAATCCAAGTAATACAGACCATTTTTCGCAAGGCCACCACCAATTGTGAACTTCATTTTGAAATCCCGAAAGACACAAAATGAGGGATAAAAGGTTACAGAACAGTTAAGTGCCTGAGTGAGCTTGCTCACTGATAATAAATTGAAAGGAAACTCAGGAACCAATTGCACAAAAGATAACAAAATGGAAGAAGTGAGGTGAATGGCACCCTGTCCAGGGACGAGTCCTACCATCAGCGAGAGTAACAAAAGTAGAAGTAACCTTGTGAAAATCAAAAAATAAGGATTCATTACCCGTCAAATGGGTAGATGCACCAGTCAAGAATCCAAGGAGAAGATGAAGATTGGAAGTGTGAAAAACACGAAATGTTACCTGATTGGGCGAAAGTAACAACACCGTCAACAGTTCCGGCGTGTGCAGAGTTAACTAATGAATTAAACTCGGCTGTGGATAGTGTGACACTATCAGTAATGGAAGATTTTGAGACTGGAGTTTTTTTTTTTTTTGGTTATTTAAAAAAAAAAAAAAAAAACTACTGTGTTCCCAAATCAAAAAAAAAAAAAAACTACCGAGAAGGCAAGACAGAAAACTGGACTGATTCCGGATCTTAGAAATGGGTCGGATCCAGTAAATGGTCGGCAGAACCGGGTTGAACCAGAACCGGATCTCTGCAAACCTGGTTTTAGTAAACCAAGGTTGGGATAGTTCACATCCGTAGCCAAACACAGCTCTTCTTCTTCACTGTGAACGCCGACGAGGACCACAAGCTGCTGCCGACAACAAACACACGAGGATCTGAGGTCAAGAATGGAGAATCGAGACCTCCAAAAGGCGAAGCCCCAACCACAAACACAGTGAAGCCTCTACAAATCTCTCGGCTACAGCAAAGAACCACACTCAGTTTCAAATGAAGAAGCCGGCCACAAAATCAGTGGCAAATGGGGACTGCATAGCCAATCGACAACTGGCAACAGCAACAGAGAGTTTACCGCCGACTACAAATCCAAGGTCCCTCGAAGCTTCACACACCTTTGTCGACTACACAATTTGCGACGGAAACAACTTCAGATCGAAGCTCTGATACAATGTGAAAGTTTACATGGGAGAGATAGAGCAGTTGGAGAGAACTCAAATTGGAGGCTCAGCACCTTTATTCTTATTACTTCAACGTTAAACATAAAAGGGTTTGTATACAAAAATAAGGAAGGTCTATTTACATAATGGCCACAAACTCTATATATAATTACTATATAACCCCAACATAAGTATATATCTACATGTAAATGTTCCAACAATTGATATATAAAAATTTAAGAGTAAATTACAATGACCCTTCCTGAAGTTTAGATTAATTGTAATTAAATTTGCAGTTTGTCATTTTATTACAATGTGACCCCCAAAGTTTACTTAATTTTGCAAACACCTCCCCTCCGTACAAAAAGTAATACTTTTTGTCAAAAAATGGTTGAAGTGACCAAAATGCCCATCAACCAAGTAAAAAGACGTTATTACCCTTATAGTATTATCAAATGACAAATTTTAATGGACAAAAATGCCCCTCTCCCTTCCTTACATTAAAATTTAATTTACCAAACATATTCAATTTATCTTATAAATCACTTATAAATTTATTTTTTAAAATTTTACAAAACTTAATTATCTTGAAAATAAATATTTAATTAAAATTAAAAATTCACATGTTAAATATGTAATTTATATTTAAATTTTATATTAATTACATTTTAATTAAATATTCAAATCAAATCTATATTTTAAAATAATATTTATTTACAATTTAAAAACAAATAGATAATTTAATAATTATTATTTAGATTAATTAATTTACATGTAGGTGTTAAAGAAAGAGAAATTAGAACTCTTAATTCGGATTGACTATTTTTATTTTAAACTGCCTTACTCAATTTATTTAGAAATAAAAAAAAAAACAAAGAAAAAAAAAAAAAAAAAAAGCACAATTAAAAATCCAAACGCACCACCACTCCACTCCCTTCACCGCCACCGCCAATCCCCACCCTCCTTCATCACTCTTGTTTCCCTTTACTCTCAAACCCAACCACTTTTCCATTTTCGCCACCACCAGACCCACTACTATACCACCATAGCCACTACCATTAATTGTCTTTCAATATATATATATATATACATACACACACGTGTATATATATATGTACACACTCAAGAGCCACCACCAGACCCACCGCCACTACTGTTAACTGTCTTTCAATATATATATATATACACACACACTCGAGAGCCACCACCAGACCCACCACTATACCACCATATCACCCTTTTCTTTCAATATATAAATATATATATATATACATATATACATACTCAAGAGCCATAGATCGGAAAGCGCCGAACGGAGAGGTTTTTTCGAAATCCTGCAATTCTTCAATCAACTAAATATCCAACTAGTCTAACTAATTGTTTGTTCTCATCTCGGCTTCTTCCCCGAACCTTCCTCTATGCTCGGCTTGAGCCGACGATGTGGATGAAGAAAGATTCAAAGTCAAAAATTTTGGGGGAATACTTTTTGAGACCAGATTTGGAAACCGATTCCACACAGAAAAAAAAAATTATAATTTTAGGGGGAGTACTTTTTGAGACCAGATTTGGTGGTGGTGGTTTGGGGGGTGAAAATGGTGGTGGTTTGGGGATGTGGCGGTGTTTGTGGAGGTGGAATGGTGCGGAATCCATGGTGGTGGTGGTGGTTGACGAGGTGGGGATTGCGCTAGTGGTGGCGTGGCTGTTTTTGCACCCAAAAATTGAAAAAGAGACTCTGGAGATTAATGGAGTTGAGACTCTGGAGATTGATGAAAAAGTTGTTCTTAAGGACGCTAGGTAACAAATGTGGGGTTGTAAGTATAGGGAGTAAAATTGACGTGTGATATATTTAGACATTTTGATTATTTTTATAATATAATAATGAGAGTAGATAAGTAAGTTCACAACAAAATCTAACAAAGGGGGGTCCTTGAAAAAAATGGCAGACCTTCGGTTTAGTTGCAATTAGTCCAAACCTGAGGGGAGGTCATTATAGTTTACCCAAAATTTAGTTCCTATTTGTTTTATAAAAAATCCATTTATATTGCACATGAGGGTAGTTTGGGTATTTAAAAATTTGTGTGAGGGTTATTCAAAGCAAGGGTGGTGAAGGTTCAGTCAAAGAAACCTTAAGGGAGGTTGACCAATGTATTTTAAAAACTTTAATCCATGAATAATAAATAAGAACTTGAAGGGAAATAAGAACTTGAAGAGAGGTTAGCGTAATTTACCCTAAACAAAATGAAGATCATACTGGTTTAGTAATCTGGAGCCTAATCTTTCTTGTTCCAAAC